AAAAAGTATAAAAAAATAAAATTAAAATATCATATAGAAAGTGAATTTTAAGAACTAAAATATAAAAATATAATATAACATTGCATTAAATTTTCTTATTTTGTAACTAATTTTTTATGGTTTTATTTTGTCAATATTTCAAATTTTCTTAAGTTTTATTTTTTTATAAAATATGATGAAATAAAATACAACACTTCTTACAAATATTAATATATAACAATTTGATATCATGTTTTTATTTTAATAATATTCGTAGGTTAAATCAAGAGTGATTTATTTTTTAATTTTATTTAGATATGTTTCAAATATTTTTTGAAATTAATTGATAACTTACACACAAAAACCTGTAAAAATAAATTTCTTCATTTTTTGCAATCAAAATTATGAGGTAGTTAGTTCTGTACCAAGTTAGAAACATGTAATGGCTTAATAATAAATTTGGGTTAGTGGAACAATAGCTTAACTTTGATAAAATCCTATTTATTACACCGACACCACCATCATTTTGATCGATCTCCACATCATATCTAGAATAATCAATCGAACGATGAGGCAATATTTGCTTACACATCTGCATTTATACACACCACGCAGTCTGTAACGCAAAAGTCGCGATGACTTCATCCATGACCGCAAAATAGTGTGTTATTGTTCACTAATCATGCAGATAGAACCGGGTTAGCAGATGGTGGAAGTGAGAGAGGTTGTCGGTAGAAGCGGTGTCGGCATCCAGCGAATGCAGGCCGGGTCGGTGGCGGTGGTCACTAGATTGCGGAGGAGTGCAGCCGAAGATCAGTGGCGGTCATGGTCACCTGGGCGTGGACGGAGCACCACCGGGAGGAGGCGGCCGACTGATGAGCTGTGGCGGTAACGATCCGTGCAGCGAAGAAGGGTGGGCTCAGCCTCCTGTAGAGATTCGAGAAAAAAGGGGCGACTGGGTTCTCGTGGGCTCCGCTGTGGGCGACGGGGAACAAGGGTGGCGACGACGAAGACGATGCCGAGTTGAGAGCCGGATTCTGCCCTATCTCCACCAGGTTCCTTGTCACCCCCGGTTCAGATTGAACCACAAGAACCCATTTGCAGCAGTTGCTTCGTAAACTCTGCACGGGATCCCTGACCTGACCTGATCTGATCCATGCCAGGCTCCGCAGAGTTGCGTGAGCTAAATCCTTGGTCTAAGTTACACTGAGCAGAAGAAGCTTGTCTGGATTGTCCTTGGCACCAGCAACTTCAGGGGCAGTGTGTGTTGCTGAGACACCCACATGTAACAGCCCCTCCCTCGCCTGGCCTGGCAGTATATTAAGTTAGAAGCAGAGAATGCGGAACAAGGACCACCACCCCATTTATGCACAATCCATGAAGGACGCACATCTTTGTGCAGGGAAAAAGCAAATCAAGCGTTAGAAAATCTGACATTTTAGCATCCGTTTCTGGGACCCTGTGACGATGCTTCGGAAACGCGGTAAAAGCGACCAGAATAAAATTTTGTTCGAATACATCGTTTCATTCGTTTTAATATTAGAATAATGTTTTGAGTTGTGAATTACTTCTCAAGGAGCCTGTTCAACTTTGGACATCAGTCTTTCAAATTAGTTTTGAGAATTTTGAATGAATTTTCTCTAAGTTTCAGAGATTTGAATGTGTTTGTCTGAACTCTGGTCAAAATAATGGCAACAACAATTGATTGTTTTAGCATGTATATATATATATATATATATATATATTTACACACACACACACACAATACGTTCACTGAGCATTTGTAATTGTTTTTATTTTTTATTTTTTTATTTTTTTTATTTAGTGCATCTAATGATGTTATGAATTTCAAATGTCAATCTACATGTTCATTTATATATAATATCCAATATTCACAATTAATTTCTTCTAATATTGCTAATTCTCCAATTTTAATTCTTAATAATAAAGTTAAATCTTAGACTCGACTTTTAAGAAAGACAATTAATTAAGCAACCTGAAGGTTTTATTATGAGCTTTATTTTTCAGAAACCAGCACAAATATATAGTAAGAAAATATAAATAAATAAATAAGACTTAAGATAATATGAAATAGATATAGTAATTTATATGATTATTTAAATATTGTAAATAGAGCATATTACATTTCATGGATTTTCTAATCTTCAACATATTCTAAATCTTTTGAAAGTACTGAAATATCTAAATATTCTTGAGGGTGTCTATTTTTATAATAGGAATTTTTTAAATTGATATTATTAATAAATTAATAAACTTCATTACATTGGTAGAATTCATACATGGCAACTACTTACATCTATTTTTGTAAATACAACCATCCAAATTTTTAAGTTTGAAATTATTACAATTTTGAATATATATATATATATATATATATATATATTAAATTTAATATCTGTTTTAAATGATTTTAAGAAAAAATAATTTTCTTAAATATTTGATTGCAATTTTTATACTTAATTCTTTAATATTTTATTTAAAAAAAAATCATTGTCATTAAGAAGAGCTGTAAATCAACCAAAATAGGCAATCATATTCAAAAGGATAATATCATAGTACTTTTAGCATATATTTTTCTAAATACCTTAACACCCATCAATTTAGTCATTGGAAAAAAATAATCTTATTATTAAATAAATGGGTCTACTACCATTTATACTTAATTCCTTTTTTTGGATATTTTTGTAATAAATTGTACAAATAAAAAAAATTATAAAGACCAATTTGATTATATATATATATATATATATATATATATATTGGGAATAATATAAGAAGGTATTAAACAATAAGAATGAATTGAGAATACTTTAGTAGAAAATGAAGATGTAATAGCAAGTTGGTAATATTAAGTCCACCACAAGGAACAATTTGCTCAACATAAATGAAGAAAAGTAGAATATAATTGGTGAAGAATTGTAATGGAGGCACATGAAGCTTTGCAAGATTTTCTCTAGACTTGTCCTAAATTTAGACTGGGTAGCTTGTGGAACAAACACCCACAAAAAAAAATCAAATCTATTTCTGCCCAAAACATCAATCTTTTTTTAATTATTATTTTAACACATGTTGGTTTTCTTGAGGTTTACTAGATGACATTTCCTTTGTCTAGTACCCACAATTACAGTTCATTTCCACATGAACTAATAACAACAGTAAAGATTGACAAGCCGGTCTCACAACTGATGGGCTTGTGTGCAATGCCCTCCAAGTTTTACGATGCTGAAAGACTACTTTTGTATTCTTCTTGCTCATGCACACACCCATACATTCTTCGCTTTGCCGCTTTTCAATTTCAGTTTTACTCAGAGTGAAATCAGTGACCGAGGCAAAACCCTAATCCCGCGGAGTGGTGCAGGGGAGCACCATCCAGAAGCCACCAAAGTGTTGGCAACAGGCCAGTGTATGCTAGTGATGTCGATCCCTGTGCCCAGTCTATGCTCAACTGGCACAAAGACCAGGTCCACGAGAGGGGGTACTAACTTGCTCTTGCCCTTCGAGATATTAATTATTTTAGTCTTATTTTGTCTTGCCTCTGCTATATATCTCTACATCTCTATCTATCTATGTATCTATTTTGCTTGAAATGGGTGGCAATTGTGGAAGGATCTGGAATCAGACCTGGCTAAGTGTTGCTGTTCCTCTACGGTGCACTTCTTCTAAGTCTAGCACTCGTACTATATCACATACAATGCACACACAGCGAGAGGGGGAAGAATGGGTCGTCCACGCCATTCCGCTCTGGCACAGCCAATGTGCAAGCAAAACGAGACATGGACACAAAGTGGCTCCACGTCCACCTTGCCTTTACAGTTGTGTATATGTATATATATATATATATATATATTTATATGTAAACATAATTTAAGTATGATTGCCATTCCACACCCCCTCCTCCATTGCTTGTTCATTGGTTTTTCATTGAGAAAATAGAGAATGTGGATGTGTCGTGTCCAGTCTATTCCAGACTGGTCGTAGTGGTGTTGAAGGCTCTCTGCTTGTGGACCCTACTTTGCCTCACTTCGTTCGATTTATTTGTTTTTCTTTTTAATTTTTGAACTTGTAGCTTGTGAGAGCAGCCATTCGCATTCACGCGCATACATACATATACATGCACTCATGATTTATTTATTTATTTATTTATTTTTCTCCTCAAATGTTGCATCTTAGTAAAATGTTGGTTTTAGTCAAACTCATTATTGAATTTAAGAAAAGATATATAACATTCATTTTTATCATTAAAAGCAGTAATTTGCAACAATTAGTTTTTACTTATTTATTTATTTATTGGCAACAAAAGAGAATGACTGATAAAAAAAATAATGAATCTCATAAATATCTTGATTATTTTTTGAATTAGTCATTCCTTTTCAGAGTTATCATGTGCTCTCTTGACTTCGATGGAATGACTAATACAAATAATGTGCAACAGTTAGGACACAATATTTCTAAATTATTATTGTTAAAATTTGACAAGAGGATAAATATTACTTGTTACCTTGCAAGACCAACTTGCGCAGTCCAGAACAAAAATCAAAATTATTCCCAAAATAATCAATTTTGTAAATATTTTTTTAAAAAATAAAAATCCATTAACACAAAATTTGTAAATTAAGATTAAAGAAGAATCCATTTTTAAGTTTCTACTTAAATTCATTATTGTGAATATTATTAAGGTTGGACTTACTGCGACTCAAATCTGAAACATCTTATCAATAAAAAAAAGAAGTCAAAATGTAAAGTTGCAAATGAAATCTCATTCCCATATTGAACTTTTTCCTCCTCTACTTTCATATATATATATATATATATATATTTTCTTTTTTCTTTTTTCTTTTTTCCTCTCTTTATTCCAAAATTAGACATTCCAAAAAAAAAGATCAACTACGAGAATACATGCAAACGTGCACGTACTACTACGTTTTCTCATGCCAAAAACATGCGTTTCTGTCAATTCAAAGAATATCAAAGTCTTCAAAGCTTGGTGATGTGCATATATGTGTGTGTGTGGGTGTGTTTGAGGGTTCAATACCAGCGAACCCTAATCTCCATCACCCAAAGCACCCCAACCTCGACAGATCGATGCAAGCACTCTGTCGGCCGAAGCTTCAAAAACTGCCACATACACTCCGTGGGTGGCGACATTTGCTTTCCCTCTCAGAACCATGTCCACTCTCACGACGCGTAGTGAGGAGTTTCAGCTCACAGCCGAGCTCACACTTCCTCTCGCAACCGAATTCTGTCGAAAGGCGTCCATGGAGCTGAATCCAGGCAGCGTTGGTGCGCGATGTGTGGGGATTTGTGGAAGATGAGAGACACTCCCTCGTCGCGGACTCGGCTTCGAAGTCGAGAGAGCACACGATGATTCTGAAAGGGAAAGATGAGGAAGAGGGAAGGGTAGGCGTAAAGCAAGTGAGAAGGATTTGTCAACATCCGATGAGGCTGTGCCAGTACGTGGAGCGCAGGACGGACCTCGGGGGATGAGCGCAGGGAGTGTGAGTGCCCCACCACCATCACCACCACCACGCTTCCAAGCCGACCGCCGCCCTCCATTCCCGTCCCACACCACTGCCTCCTCCTCCTCCTCAGAGAACTACGGACTGATCCATGGCAGCGCGGTTCAGGGTTCGCTTTCGAGTGTTCTAGATCCTAGCTCAGCTCGACTGGGTTTGCCTATATAGTGGTCGACCGGCAAGTTAATGCGACGTGTTCCTTTTTTCTGGGTGTCTTTTGTTGGCAGACTTCCATGTTTATACAATCCAAGTGCGAGATTCTGATCGGTTCGCACTCGTTTTGAGTTCTCTAAGCAAGCCAGGTTGTGTATAGCCTTTGGTTGTGGTTGCGTTTTGTTGTGAATCGGGATTGTGGTGGTTCACACTTACTGACGTTATTGCGAGCCAGAGGCGCCGGCATAGTTCTTCATTTCGCTGAGGGAATTTCCTAGTCAAGGCTCGGATTGGTTGTTGATTTCGAGTGTGAGTAGTGTTCATCGCGAGCTGGTTAGAGGCTTTGGTGTTTGGATCTTCATAGAGCACTCTCCGCGCCGGTTGATTGCCGGCCGGATCGGTGGTTGAGAAGGCAGCATTTGATAGTCAATTGACGGAGGCCTGAAATGGCAGAAACGGAGGTAAGGAAGCGTGTGCTATTACTTGATGCTCTTTCCTTTTGTTTTTTCAAGGTGTTGCACTCAACTATTTATTCCTGCAGGGATGAATTCAAGGAAGATGAGATTGATAGCTTTGCATAGAGATTGTCCGTTAAACAGGCCACTAACCGGCAGCATCGTCTTCCTGTAAGACGTGGTGATGCTTTCTGTGTTGCTAAGAAATGCAATCTTGCGTGGTCGTGTGCAGGTTTACTACATGGGTGGCCCAGCCCCGCCATGGTTGGATACGAACGCATGGTGCATCCCCGTGGCAGTTAAAAAGGAGTATGCTGACAAAATGCCGGTGAGTTGATCGAGATCAGTTCCGTTTCTCTTGCCCGAGGGTTACATCGCTGGCGAATTCAGAATCTGATTGAAATTTATGAATTCTTCTTCTTCTTCTTCTTCTTCTTTTGCTGCTGCTGTTTACTGGGTCTCACGATCAAGATAACGATCCGTATATTTGTCATTCCCACATTTCTGGCACACATTGCTAGATTGAAGTTACATGTTCGGGGAATTTAATCTTTTCCCGCTTGATCGCATCATGAGAGTATTCCTTTTCATTTCAGTTAGCGGGAATACTTCAATGCATGCGCGTCTTCAGGAAAAATTGACGTGTATTTCCGGTGGCTTGTGCAGAGGATTGCAATGCAAAAAGTCGAATTGAAGGTGAATATGTGTTGCGCCAAATGCGCAGAGATAGTGGATGAAAAGATACGATATCTGGGTGGTAAGACTCTCACATCCCCTGATCTTTGGTGGTTATCATTTGGATCATCATATTGAATTGTACAAATCCGAAAGAATGACCTTTTTTGTTTTCAGTTCCTCTCACATGCGAAGTCTGATCCAGTAATCGATATAACCTGATCCAATCTCTCTACGTACTGATGTTGTTTTCGATGGTGTTGTTTTTCAGGAGTATTTAATGTGAAGGTTGATCAGAAGAATTCCAAAGTGACCGTCATAGGAAGACCAGACCCAGAGAAGGTTCTAAGAAGGGCAAGGAAAGTGGACAAGCATGCAACGTTTTGGCCAGCACCACCACCTCCACCTCCAGCCCCTGTAGTGGTAGTAGTGGAGGAGAAGCCCAAAGAACCGGAAAAGCCCAAGGAGGAGAAAAAGGAAGAGGTAAAGGAAGAAAAGAAAGAGGAAAAGAAGGAGGAAAAGAAGGAAGAAAAGAAGGAGGAGGTGAAGGTGGAAGAGAAGAAGGAGGAGGTGAAGGAGGAGAAGAAACCAGAAGAGGAGAAGGAGGAAAAAAAAGAGGAAGAGAAGAAGCCCGAAGGTGGTGAGGCCAAGGCTGCTGATGAGAAGCCCAAGGAAGAAGCCAAAAAAGAGGAAGAGAAGAAGCCTGAGGAGAAGCCCAAGGAAGAGCCCGCTCCAGCAGCGGCGCCGGTGCAGTTTCCGCCTCACGAGCAAGCAAGTTTCGAGGGATTCGTCCCATTCGATGGATACATGCCGAGCCAATCTTACCACCCTCTCTACCCCGACTTCAGTCACATGGGATACTTTGGCCCACAGATCCCCTTCCTCAATCCCAACTACTTCAAGCATGTCAAGATTGCCTACTGAGTTGTTCCTCGCGGCGTAGCATTCTTTTTATGTTCTCGACGACGACCAGACCTGTCGTCGTCAGGCGTGTAGGACTGATTAGTGTGTGTGTTGAAATCCATGGCTTGTCGTGGTCCTGAGGCTCTATTGGTGTATATTATTAGATAACCGTAGTTTGCGTAACATGTTTAGGGTTCATTTCGACAGAGTAACAGCTGAGCTTTTTGCACTGCAGGGAGTCGAAAGTCAGCACTCCCATTTCCGATTCTGGAAGAGGTTTACGTTAGGTTATTATTTCTTGCAGAGATAGATAGAAGGAGAGAGAGATAGGGTGGGAGCTAGTAGTAGGCAATTACAGCCGCTCTAAGAATCACGTCCGTGGTTCTTTGTGGGTATTAGCAGCAGCAGCCTTTGCAGTCATGGCTCACAGCTTGGCTGTCTTCTATGAGATAGCCGTGAGGGTATATAATCAGTTCAGCAGCAGTCGCTCTTTGTTCATACGAGGCCTGCATAACTGAAAAGCTCAAAAACTTCTCGTATCATTAAATAGCATTCTGTAATCTGTGTTTCATTCTTCCCAGCAGCGTGCCACAGCAACGATGAATGACATGCATGGACTGCCTTCGGATCTGTCTATGAAACCCGAAGCATTTCAATTTCTAGGCACATGCTCAGCTGTACATGATGTTCTCTGTGCACCTGCAAAGAGCCTGCACGGACACTCATGACCTGGTCGAAATCGTAACAAAGAGAACATGCAAACTAGCAGCAATCCACGTTAGGGACAAAGCTCGACTCCCCAGCGCATACATTTAACCGTTACGTTGATGAAAAATCGGTCGAGAACTTGAGAACACGTCGGTCGTAGTTCTCAATCTGATGTGTGTCTAGAGATCTACAGCATTTTCTTCTGCCTGCAGCCCAGCTTGGATACCCTTCACCACTAGACGTGGAGAAGAAGAATTGCAAGCAGTGAAGGGGAAGTGTTGACTGGGTTGTTGTTGCTCTTGGCCCTTCGAGGCTCAATCTTCGAAGCTCGAATCGGGTCAAACGTGCACACATATCAGACAGTCAAGATGGGACTGTAAGATGAACATACATAGTGAACTTGCACTGGTTTCGAGCCTCAGCGCCACTACTCATCGTTGGTATCGAAGGCATACAGTAGCCTGATGGTTCTGGAGGATCAAATCAAGCAATCCAAGCAAGCAAGCAAGCCATCAATCAATCAGGTTCCAGTAATGATTCTAGGTGAGAGCTTTTTGGATGCCTTTTGTCCGTGCTTCGGCATATGCTCTTATCGCGTAATCACCACACCCAACGCACACAAAAACCAGTTTCCTCTCAGAAACAAACAAAATGCTTGCGGCTCATCTGCTTCTTCTCACAACGGTACCAGCGTCTATTGAACAATGTGAAGCTAATTTTGAGCTCTGCTCATGCTTTCCAACATGAGCTTCACCGTGAAGCTTCCACAGTTTTGATTTTTTAATAGTCCCTTTTGCGTGGTCTGTTCACAAATGTAATTGGAAGAAATGAATAAAGAATTGGAGTTTGATGTTGGAAAAATGTTTGTGTGGTAAAAGAATGGGAGTTTCATTTGCTGTTCACAGAATGGATTTCAGCTTTTGAACCTTGGGATTTCAGACTGTTAGCTCCAAGTTATGTTGGTCAATGGTGCGTCTTGGAATAATAACTAGGATATAAGGACACACCCAAGATGTACAGGCTTCCATTGTTACTGTGCTTCTTGGCAACACAACCAAGTTTTATGAGTATCCTAGAAGCTTTTTAGTAATCCAATTGAGTTTTACAAGTATCTTACATGCAATGAATCAATGCTTTCTCTTTTATTCATTCAAGTGCAAAAATGTTACATTGTTTTGTCTCTGTAGAATACTTCTAAAAATGAGACAAGCAAGCTTGCCATGTTTACTTACTACCAAATGTTCAATTTCCAAAGAGAGAGAAAAAGAGAGAGACATGAATTCCTTTACTAGTTCTTATGAAGCCTAAAAAGTTTTCTAATCACAACTTCTATTCTAAATTCACTATGGTGCTACAACTAGTTGTATTTTTATCCTATCTCCTTATTATATTATTATCATTCTATATCATGACTTTTGTTGAAGATTGCTGATGTCATTTAAGGCATTGACATTTTATCCTTGTTGTAAGTTCATATTTTGTCCTTACATGCTAGGGCATAGTTGTCTTTTGAAGGATTTAGTAATGGCCTTGGCTATAATGTGGTATAAGCAAAAAAAAAAAAAATTTGGTTTTTGATGCATGTTCATAGATATCATTTATTTATTTATTTTTATTTTTTCATTACTTGGTTGCATATTAGGTACTCCATCTTTGCATCTACATTGTCATACAAAAAGGTGCAATTTAGATTACTTTAAAAGTATACTAATACTACTTTTTTCACATCTTATTATGTAACCTCTTTTTTCTTGTCATTATTGTTGCTATCAAATTCTTTGTTTTGTATCAATATATATATATATATATATATATATATTTGTGGTAACTAACCTTGCATACTTTAAAATCAAAGATTATAATTGTCAAGACAATTTCTAATTCCACATTAATTGTATCCTTCTATGGTTTTAATATTAGAATTTGCAGTTCAGAAGATGGGACCATGAGTTGAGGATTGTGTCTTGGAGATTCTAAGATTTTTTGGAGGGATGAGGGAAGAAGGGAGGAGAGGAAAGAAGGGAGGGAGGTACATTGATTATTATCCTAATGAATTCATCATTTTTTTGGGCAGATTGGATTCAAGAAGCAATATATACTATTGTTCATAATTTTTTTATTGGATTGCTTCTGTAGAGAGGTATTTTTTATTTATTTTTTGATTCTTTTATTCCAATTCCTTGCTAGTCATTTCTTCTTGTTCTTTAGCCTCACATATTTCATGCTATAATTATACGTTTATGGCAAGAAGTTTGTTGTGGTATTATTTAGTTGTTTTGTTGGATGTTTCCAATATGGCAATCTGTTAGTATGTGATATGGAGGATAGCTTTGTGAGCTATAATTTTACTTTGGACCTCTTTGATCTTGTGTCTAGTACATGCCAAAGAAAATTAAAGGTAACAAATAGTATTTCTTGTTAGTCTATGGTACATTGTTGCTTTTTAATCCTAGCACATAAAATAGAAAATTCTAAGGTACAATCTACTTTACCTTGTATGCATTGCTCTATAGCCTCATTGGCAACTATGAGCTATATTATATAGTCTTCTTTATCATTAGTAAAAGTTATAAAATTAGTCATTATCCAAAATTCCTTTGCCAAGCATTCATTGATAATTTATTAAAAAGAGAAAAATAATTTAGATACTAGATCATTATAGTACACATTTTTTTTTTTTTTTTTTTTTTTTTTTTTCATTGAGTTGATTTATTGTTTACACCTTATTCTTATATTATTGTATTATGTGTCTTCTTGCTTGAGAATGCATTGAGCACTTAATTGTAGAAGATAAGTATAAATACAACAACAATCCTATAAAGTTTAATAGAATCTTAAATAAATTTTAAGTAAACTTTAATAATCCTAATCTAATTTTAAAAAATTCAAAATAAAATTTAAAGAAATTAAAAAAGAAACACAAAGAAGTCATGAACTAATTTAAAAAGAAAATAACAAAGAAATATTAAAAAAATAAAAAATAAACCTTTAAGGAAATAATAATAATTTTAAAGAAATAAAAGAAATATTTTTAAAAAAGAAATAAAAAAGAATATTTAAAAATACTAATAATAATTTTTAAAAATAAATCCTAAATAAATCCTAATAAAATCTTCATATAACCTTAATTAAAATCTTAATGAACCTTAACCAAATTTTAGATAAAAAACTAATAAAATCCTAGACAAATCATAACTAAATCTTAATAAAATTTTAAACAAATACTAATCAAATCCAAAAAACATCTTAAATCCTAACTAAATTTTTTAAAAATATTAATCTTAATCAAATTTTAATCAAATTTTAAACAAATCCTAACCAAATCTGAAACCAATCCTGATCAATCTTTAATCAAATTATAAATCTTAAATAAATTCTTAATAAATCCTATAGCAGATTAAAAATTCAATAATTAATAATTAAACTATTGATTTTGACTCAAAATTTGCACACCTTGCAATAATTAAGTTAAAAATGAGTACAAAATATTTGAAGAAGATTGCACATATTAAGTAGATGATAATTCTAAAACTCTGCTTAGGGGTTGGTTGGCCTCTTTTTCCAACCTTGTTTTAAAGACATGAATCTTAAAAAAAGAAATCTTTATTACACTCTTATGTCCCTTAATAGAATTAAAAAGTTACTTACAAATGATATAATATTAAACTAAAATGGCTATTGCCAAAACCAAGAAAACTAGAAAGTTTTGAAACAAGAATAAGAACTAGAAAGGCATTGATATTAGTGAAGAAGACTTCATTCTTGCTTCCATATATACTCTTAACTAGGATCTATATAGTATTGTCTTATAAGACCTCCAAAACGTGTTGATTTTGTAAAACACATATTTTAACTTGCAAGGCAAGTTTTTTATATGTACGCCTTATAGTTAGCTTGTTCCACAAGCTACTAATACATGGTTAACTTGTTGACAAAGGTTCTAACCTATTAATCAATTACAAATACATGTAAAGTCAAACTAGCATCTATAAAGCTTCTAAGAAGCTTTTCTAAAAAATATACTAAAATAAATCTAGTTTTACATACTTCTACTTAATCATATAAGTAAATATTAGTATAAATATATATGTTCATTGTCATATTACGTATTTTTTTGCTTAGGAATACATCAGGCACTTAGTTGTGGAAGGTGAGATTATGTTTCACAAGTAGCCAAGAAATCCTAATAAGTTTTATCCATATGAGAAGAATATAATCTGAATTTCAATTCAAAAGTACTTAAAACACTCTTCTTAGTAGTCTTAACCATATATAAATCTCAATTATCTTGTTACTTTCATATTTAAGCAATTTAGAATTTTCTTGTAAGCCCCAATCCTAATCAGTGAGCTTTAATAAGCTGTAACATCCAATCCGACCGTCCACTTAATGTGGAATTTTGCATGAAATTGTCAATGTAAGTCTTCTATATGCTCAAGAATTTTTAGTCCAATCCAACTTATAAATTGTGAGAAAACCTCCAAAAATTGCACTAATGTTACTCGGCCACCAACTTGAAAAGTGAAGCAGAAATCCCAGCAGTGATTTCTCCCTTTCCAACTGTTAACTTTATTTTAAAATTGGTATATAGCTTGATCTTCAAGTCCTCTAACACCATGCCAATTTTCACCTTAATTCGACAAATAAATCTTTAGACATCATAGAAATCCTATCCAACCTCAAACTGCCACCTTCTGAAACCCTCTTGTGCTAAAAACTAGATATCTCTAAACCACACCATTAGATCATTACAAAATTTTGTATACACTTAGCACATCTAATAATCCAAATAGTAACAAGTTTTCAATCATAGATGTCACACCAATTGCACTAACTAGCCAAGATTGCTAGCCCTAATTATATTATATAAAA